ATGTAAAGAACCTGTTGCACCGCGTGTCACTTATACACATGATAGTTTTCTTCGTAGCTAGTAAATTTCATAATTTAGGTAGTTATAATAATAATAAATATATAAGCAGAAATGCAGAATATATTATGATAATCGGTAATTATACTTATACGTGTTTCCCGTTTTGTACAGGTTCAGTAGGTCAACGAGCTAAAAACACTCATCATGATTTTACAATATCGTATTTTAATGATATATATAGATATAGCATATGCATTCCGTTGCAGTTTTTTTTTATTCATATAAATTAAGCGCGTAGATCACACGAATGACTTGTGAATCGCTATCTCTACTAGTATAACATTTATAATAATATATGATATATTATTATTATGCTGAACTGCAGAGTTCAACAGAGAAAACATAAGTATATTCATCACTTATTTAATATCCGTCTCTCTGAATCTTATGATCGTGCACTGTGCATTGAGCAATAATATAAATATCAAATAATTGTTGAGATGTACGTAATAATGATTAAATTATTGTGTACGACAGATCTCCAATAAAACCCCATATTATGGCATATACATAAAATAACCCAGTGAAGAAAATATAATGCGTACTACGTTTATGACGTTTACACATAATATGAAATTATTACATAATTAGTATAATATTATATAATAACACAAATATGCATACACTGCATCAATAACTACAATAAGCACATAGGTACCTGCAGTCCTGTAAGTATTCTATCATGCAGTGTACTGAGAAGTGTATCCATATATAGGTACATTAGGTATATCAACGGAATATTGATTTATTATATTAGCTGCAGTAAACTGAAAAGAAACAAATAATAATCATTTTGTAAATTATWTACGAATGCACAACGTGATGCGTAATATATAATGTGTAAAAAAAATAAAGCGATGTAAAATATTTTATTATTATTTACTATAATATGTATATGTTTATCCATCATATGGGTTTAGAGTATAAACTAGGAAAGTGTACCTACTGTTTATAAAGCATGTTCAATATCGTGATTTTGTGTTATTGTAATACGACATATGTAAGCATGTTTGATGTTCTTAATGTAATATTTATTATGTATTATATATTTATATGCATAAAATGATCATGGCAATTTGCATCGTATATAGTGTTGTTTGCATGCGCTGTTCGACAAGCCGTGGTAGGTCATGTACTCATCATGTCCCAGTGGTATCGGTATAAAATAATGTATAATAAACTAATAATAATAATTAGCATATTGAAAAAAAATTTTCTTGTCTATTCAACACGTTCAAGAATAAAAACATTGAATTTTTTATAATGTTTTGATAACATATTACTATAATATATATATAATCAAATATAGCCTATAGGCCTGTCAATTTATATAGTTGAACTCATCGTTTAATAGTAAACACTATTATCAACTATCATATCATCACTATGTAGAATAGATATTATTGCCTTCCTAATCGTCATAAATCATAACAATATAAGGTTATACATTAATAGCACACCTGCAGTCGCAAACGTAATTTTAAATGCAATGTATTCTGTTCTTTGTGTTCAGAACACAGTGTTCTTACCTCATATTATTTTAAGGGATTTAAAATCTTCGGGCATAATATATAGTAGCAATACTTTTAGTTAATTTTTGAATATTTTTTCTGGAAAATTCAAACTAATAGCTAACTTTATTACTGTACCTATAACATATATTCTATAATTACATTATTACAATACGTAATTTTATACTACATTATAATATAAATTATAATTATGTATACATATACATATAGATATAGTATTGCGTATTTGTGGAMGGCGAACCGTAGTGGTATAATGATTGTATTATTATATTATTATAATATTATAGAAGAGAAATTCTGGTGCAAGGCATAAATCTCATTTAAACCTAATAAACCTATACATTGAAGAGATTAGTTATATTGGCATTTAAACAGGCATAGGTTAGGTACTGATAAAGATATTTACAAAAAAAAATTTTTATTCAACTATTATAAATCCTTATACTAAATGATTTGTACACTTTTTGTGCGTACAATAATATATTCACATACCAACCTATAAGTATTATTATTTATCAGGGAATTTTTGGTTATAAGATAGCAGTATTGGAATAATATGAGGAAGATCAAACATCAAAGTTGATATACATTTTTTTGGGTGATATAGTGGTGTGTTAAATTACCTCAATCATAAAAAGTCGTATTTATGTAATAAATAATAATAATAATATATCTAGATAAGAATTTTTTTATATATTAGTCCATTACATATAATATTATAATATGTGATAATTATAGTACGAAATGTCACATAAAATATTTTTATAACACAAACAAAGTTTGGTAGTGTTTTTTCGTTCTTTTGTGAAACGAATGAAATGATAAATTAATTAACTTATAGGGACGCCAATTAAAACGAAATTGACGAAAAATAAATTGGTATATCAATCATCCATAATAATATGTAGGTAGATAAATGCGATAAATCAATGACCGCCAATGCCGAGGTAAAGGTGCGAATATATCATTATATTTTACTATACGCACAGGATTTAGTAATTTTTTCTGCTGKCGCGTCGCGCATGTATATTTTTGACACGTGGTTATGATAAAATGCGACATGCGTATACCTAAAAGTATTTATTTTTTACCTATTGATATCAATTATATAGCCAATTATTTRTAAGCTCTTTGAGATTAACTCATTGTGATGTTCAACGCGGCGAGTCCGCGAACTCAGCGAATACAGCGCGTGAAAGTCGTCTACATAAACTATAATAAATATTATTAAAATAATAATATTTGTAACGATACGTTCTGACACTCTCACTGCAACAATGTAATGCAAATAATTTTATACTCAAACAAGTACTTGTCTATTAATTATAATATATTAGCTATATGGCATCACCAGGTGTCAAAGATGTGCGGCAATTAATTATATCATCGTGAAAGTATTGAAATTAAAAAATATATGTGAGAATACTGCGGATTGAAACCGTAGTGAGTCTTATTATAGGTAGTGCTGCAATGTACATTTTAATAATATTATATCATATAAATCGTAAAAATACACGTGAGGTCAGAGAGGTGGGTATAATCACTAATACTCTGATAACAGGGCACGAGACAAATTGCAATTATCGAACATTTACCGAATTTAACGAATTATAATATAAATACCTAATTTTTGTTTGATTTTTAGAACATATTATAATAGCAATTAAAGTGGATTAGGTATWTAGGTTAGCTACGCGGCGTACTTACCCTTAGTTCATATAATAATCTTTATATACGTATTTTTTCTTCAACGTATGTCTGTTGGTCATACTGCAGAATAAGTGTAATCATGCATTACTTTATTATAATAGTACCTAGGTGTCACTGTGTCAGAATACTGAAATATATAATAATAATAATCATAGTTAAAATATATATCATGATTTTTTGGTAATATTGGCAAGCAATATACTGTTAGTTATAATTGTACATTTATTTTTTTTTAATGTACAGTATTAATTTTAGAAATTGTAACATTACATCGTATAAAACTATAAACTGAGGCTATGCCCGACTATAGAGTACAGTTTTGAAAGTTTTAAGCTTCTATGCAATCAATTTCTATATCTATTATAAACACTATTTAATGCTGATATTGTTATATAAAATAGTCGTCCCAATTCCCAGGTCACCCTGGCGTACCCTGGTATGAGTACTATAACGGTTTATACAATATACATATTATTATATGCTATCCATATATTGTAATAATAAATTTATTTTATTTTTTCTATAAAACAAGGGAACAACGTACCTATATGTATATGGCATTCGCCTCGCCTCTTAGTCGAGGTGTGTTTCGTGTCAAGTGCAAGTTTATACACAAAGCCGATTAATGATTATAAATATAAACTATATCCTATAATATATATTATATTTTCCTATTCAATGTCATGCGCGCACGTGTGGTTTTCGTTGAGATKACCTCCAATAATATTATAAATTATAAAAAAATATATTACAAACGAATATGTAGAGCTATACATTGTGATGTTTTTGGATCTGTTGTGGCTTATTGCGGGACACTCCCAAAAAAAATAAAAAAATAAAACCTATTCCGCCGACATTCCGTATCTGACCCACTCGATTGGATGTTTGCGACGCCGCCGCGGGAGATACGATTGAGATATTATTGTACAATATATTATAATATACATTATAAAATATAATATGTACCTACAATCTACATAATATATATGCATATAATATATGCTGATGTTATATATTATTATGTATATGACACTATGTATAGTGTATATTATATATATATATGTGTAATATGTATATAATATTAAATATAGTATATATAGATAGCAGATGATGCAGCTCCGTAGGTATTTATATTATATGAGGCGCGCGCCCACGGGTCCCACGCGGAATACGCGTTGTAAAATACGACTTATATTATTATTGTAAATTATTATTTGTTGGCTTGTTGCTGAACACTATATTATGACAATGAATGCAAAGTTTGCCTCACATTCTTACCACTGCTAGTATGTTTTTGAAAAATCTATTGCATCATCGTAAAAGAGATTCACAGCTATTAAATTATGTAATATATGTTTCAAAAGTATAACATTTTTCGATTTACCTTAAACTCAAATTAAATATTTATAATTTTTTGTTTCGGTTACTAATTATTTTCATGGTCATTCATCAAATATGGCTGTATGAAAATCGCTGAATGTTGTAGTCGGGCTTACACGAAGACTAAAACCGTAAGACACCCTGTGTGATCGCGATACCTGCAGCTGCTTAATGTTATAAAATATTATTATGTATAATAAATTATTACATAATACTATGAAAGGAACGTAATTTGGAAATGTATTACTTTTATTTATTATATATACTTTAATATTATATACGCTGCGACATTACATCTTATGGTAGACGTATCGGCGTATCGCTATTCATTATTTTATAAATAGGTATATGTATTATGTTTTAATCGTCTTTGCAGGGTTTGAGGTGCGTAGATAACAACAATTGCCGCCGTTTGGACGATACACATAACAGGCTTATAGCATTTATGAAATATGTGATCAAGCAAACCAAACACAGTTCTTGAACGACGAACACCAACACGGAAGCCAAGTAAATTGTAGACACGTTGGACGCAATCGCCAAATAGTAGTGGATGTTTACGATTTTATCCCTGTCCGAACAACCTGGAATTCAAAATTGAACAAAAATTACATGATAGATTGGTTGCAAATAACTATAAATATTAAAATGTATAAACAAGTCGTAAGTATTATATAGATAAAGACAGAGGTAACCTCTGACTATATTATACTAAATACGTATAATATGCCCGTCACGAATGTCTTATTCAATGTAATAATTATTATTTATTATGCATTGTTTATAAACTATAACAATAAACGTACTCAACGCGAATGACAGGGTGTAAAATAACATTCCAGTGAGTCCGTTGGGTACGTTGAAAGTGGAATCTTCTCCAAATATGTATCTAACAATCCCAAAACCTTTGGCGTATCTGTAAACATAATTTTATAGTGATACATTATCGTTAATATTTTTTTAAATTATACCCGACATTATTGTTATTGTGTGAAATATGTAAATTTTTAATTTTATTATGTACCGTTTAACGGTGCGGATATATTCGATACCTTTTATAACTTACAATACATATTATACGCGATATTGTAAAATGGTGTTCGGGGATAAACGTTTCGATTTTTACCAATAATGTGTATATTTTCATGAATTTTAATAAGTCAACAGTTTTATTAAAGTTAATTATCATATTGTGCATTGTATTGTATGTATGTATTATTATTATTGTAGGTACTATAAATGCGATGGAAAAATAACCATTTTCAAATGTTTTGAGATTTATAAAAAATAAAATAGTGTAGCTTTGAATTTCAAACAAAAAMCAATTCGCAATTCATTACTTCAAACAAAATTTGTGAACTTGAAATATGTAATAAATATGTAATATAAAAAAATGCAAAAAATCTCTGGCCCATGGGGGGATCGAACCCACGACCTTCGCGTTATTAGCACGACGCTCTAACCAACTGAGCTAATGGGCCGATGTTACGAAAGGCCGATTTTTGGCAATTTCAATACACATTGCATCTATATTCTATTATAGTGTAGTCCATAGGCGCAATTTGGGGGGTGCTTGGGGGTGCTTAGCACCCCCAAATTTTTAACAGCATTATCGAATATTCGAATGTTTATTGCTTATAACTTATGATATTATGTAGTCCCAGTGTTAATTTGTTTTTCCAAATGCCAATAGGTAATTTATTATTTCTATTATGATTAATAAATTATTATGTACTATTAACGTAAGAATATTTTATAGAAGGATAGTCGATTTAGACATTTATTTTAGTCGATAACGATTACGCCGAAACGTYTATCGACTATTCGCGTATGCCGTTGCCGTAACAGCTTTATCAATTTCTTTCGTGAATCCGGTAAATAGAAAAAAACATCTATAAATAGAACGCGCGTGATCAATTTATTGTCGATCCAAACTCCGAGCGACCATTAATTTGATCATTTCATTTTTTCTGCGAAAACACACAGRTTGTGCTTATGTRCACCATTAGTCTATAGTGTCTGTACTCAATTGTCTGAATTAGTTACGAATCCTATACGTGTAACGTRTTTTAGTGTTTAATGTTTATAGTTTATTCTTATTAATTAAATTGAATAATATTATTATTAGTTATTACTCGAGTTGTGATTGCTTTTAAAGTTTATYATTGCAAATACTCAAAAGATGTTTAGTATTTTCARTATTGTAAAAAAGCCAAAAAATGAAAAACCCCAAGAAGTAARTCATGATATTTAATAAATAAAGAAAAACCCATCTTTATAATCATCTTAATGTTAATATTGATTATTRTTAAATTTTTACATATTTTAGTTGAATTCTGAGGTTGTTGATGAMCCTGAATTGGAAATTGTAGAAAAAGATGTTATAGTTAATCAATCTGATGCTAATTGTGTTGAAACATTAGCAAATGAACTCCAACATTCTGATTTGGGAAATCTTACAACTGGGCCWTATCGTCCTGTWTTAAATGTAAGTTAACATTTTGTTAAATTTAATAACAATAACAATAATACTAACATTATTAGGTAATTATAAGTAATTGAGATTACATTAATTATTCATAGTAGGCAGTAGCAAGTATGTATTAATCATACTTGTTTAATATTTAGATACTTTTTCTGTATTTCAAATATATTAAATACAAAATCCTTCCGAACAAGATTTTTAGTTTTGTTTTTCGACTATGAAGAAATTGCTTAATAATAATAAGTTATAAATTATCACTTGAACATAATTAAATTAATTGGTTTTAAGAATTAAGAACCTGAAAACAACAAAGCTAAAAAAATGTATTTAAAAGTATTTGAAATACTTTTTGAATATATTTAAATACTTATTAGCAAAGATATTTGAATAAATATTTTAATACTTTTTAACTGAAGTATTTAAATACCTATAYGAATTCTTTTGAAAAGTATTTTAAACMACATTGGTATTAAAATTATTCATTAAATATTTTAATACCTATTTAAAATACTTTTATTTGTATATATTGTATTGTAATCGTTCTATCTTGTAGGTTTATAAGCTAACTAGATTTGGTTCGCAAAAACAGATCGTTTAGTAGCGAATGGTATAAACAATATAATTGGTTGGAGTATAGTATAAAAAGCAATGCAGCATTTTGCTATGTATGTAGAATGTTTGCTGATGAACTTATTGATGAAGTTTGGTTTGTCCCAAAGACGTATACCTTTAATATAATATTTAAATAAACATATTTACCTGTTTTTATATACCTTAAATTTGTGTTTTATTTTATTTAAATGGTGTCGTGGTATGGTCATAAGGGGGTGTGGGGGGCAAAGCCCCCCACGGGTCACTTTGGTCAACTCAAACCTAGCACCCCCATGCATTTAACCCAAATTGCGCCTATGGTGTAGTCACAAAAATAACAAAATATAACGCTTTTATATTCAAACATTAATGAATATTAGAYAACATGAAATCGGATGTAAGACGTATAAAGTAAAAATACTTTATCTTTATTTTTTATTCGTATTAATTATTTAAGAAGACATTCCACCACATGACAAGCTCCGAATTCCCAAAAACTAAAATCTAGTTGGGCTAAAAATATTTCAAGAGGCCTAATATCTTTAAATCGGCAAAAATGGCGTACCGTAGAAAGGAAAGTAGTCAATATGAATCAGCCCTAATGGCTCTATTCTAAATTTTTATAAATATGTCTGGTTATGGCCCGACCTTAACATAGGATTCGGTACCACTAGTCTCCGTCTTACTTAACAAGTAACAACCTAAGGTATACTAATAAGTATACAGCAAAAAAGGCTCTTGCCAAATAGAAACGTACAGGTTACCTCAATGGCAGGTGGATCTTTAATAATTAATAACCTAACCAATAGATTTATAAGGCAACTTCAAAACCACGAAAATCAAATCTGTGATGGTTAAATTTCTAACTTAACTTTAACGAATGGCTCACTCTAGAAAGTTACCAGAAAAAATCCTTAATCACATTAAGCCCCACCCTTCACTCCACCGCACTGGTATCTTAAAAAACACTGACGAGTAACGATGTTGAGAAGGCTAATGTCTTTGCTGAACACATTTATACACAGCATTTAAGCCAAACGAACCCCCAGTATTCTTTTAGTATTTGAGTTCCTAGACAATCTACTTCCAGTCTATATACAGGGTGATTTTTTAAGCATGCTCGCCCYRTTTTKATKCTTAAAYTATGCATATATTCAAATTTTGATTTTTGGAATATTTAAGTGTAGTTAAAGGCGATATTTTTGAGTACTTAGATTTTTCACAACTTTTAAGGAGTATCCTG